ATCTGCACAAATGGTTGACATTAAACATTAAAAAGATCAGGCAGTTCAGAGAGAATCAAAGGAAGGCAGGCAGCTTTGCATGACATTCTTCTGGACGTGTTTCATTGTGGTGATAGTGAGGGTAGTCAATCCCTTGTTTAGCAAGACAGTAGTGACGGCCATCTTGGTGACGTGTGTTGTTCTGCGAGACCAGAGATGTAGTTCATTCAGCGTTTCACACAAAAAAATGTGTTACTTCAGTTTTATGACACATGCTTTTTTTTTGACTTGAAAAATTATCTTTTAAATTGACAAACATATGTGTAATTCGTGGCACAATTCAAACGGGATCGAAAGATAATCTTTCTCTCCATTGACTTCAATACATATATTTTCAGAAATAAGGTCCCATGGAGGTCCACCTGAAGGGGAGGGACTTCGCCTCTTTAGGCAAAGCATTTGAACATTCTTTTGTGTCACATGTTCATTATTAAGTTGATTTATAACTGTATAGTATCTTAATTATTTAAAATATAAGGTGACTAAAAATGGCAACAGTATTTTCAGTTTGTTAACCAAAAGCTGATGCCTGCCACTTTTAAAAGTTAGCGTTGAGACCTGAATGGGTTTTAATGGAGGCATGTTGACATTTTTGTCACTTCATGCCCTCAAGAGGCATTTTGTTGAATTATTTTGCTTATTTTTTTTAATCTTTCAAGCTACGAGATGTTTTCCTTCGTTAGTCATGATAAATGATGTCTCAGGGATGTAGGGTTTGGGAATTATGGCAGTTTTAAAAATAAATATGAAGGCAAAATGAAATCTGTCCTCCACTCTGACGTCACGCACTCTAAAATCTGAAGAAGGCCTCTTTACCAAGGTCTGAACAATGTTTAATATCTCTAAAAGTAAGAATCAGATTTAAAAGTTGTTTTACACGAATAATGTCAGAAAGATGTGTAACATTTTAAAGTTGGAATGAGGTTTCTGAGTGAAAGTATGAAGGAACAGTTAGCAGTTGAAGTTGCATGAAGATTGTTGAAGATTTTCTCCATTGACTTCAATGGTTAAAAATGTGATGAATTATGGGATGTATCTCTGAAATTATGAAAGTTATGAATGAGAAAAGTAATAGCCATCGATTCCCGACCGAGCTGAACGTTTTGATGTTTGAACGGAGTTTCTGCGATGTTCAATGTGGGAGGAGAAGAAGGGCAAAATAACCCGGCGGAATAATAAAGAATTTCAACACAAGGTCCTTTATTGAGATGGTTTTATTACATATTCAGGAAAATGATTACTTTGTAAAAGTTGTACATTAAACACCAAGAGCTTTCAGAGACACAGTTTGGAGAAAATATAGATAAAGATATGATCACGAATGTATCATATACTGTGTGTGTGTGTGTGTGTGTGTGTGTGTGTGTGGGATTACTATAGCATACCATGGAAATGTGTGTGTGTGTGTTTGTATGTGTGTAAGTGAGTGAGGAAAATGTAAACAAAGATATATTTAAACTTCTGTGAGATTAGGAATGTATCATGGTGTGTGTGTGTGTGTGCGCCTCTCTCTGTGTGTGTGTGTGTGTGGGTGTGTGGGTCAGGGCTGGCTCTGCTTCATATCGCTCCAGCTCTTCCACACCAGCAGATTTCGACTCTTCCCCAGAGTGACCAGGAATCGAGGAAGCTGCCATCCATTAAACTGCCCCACGCCGTCGTCAGGGCCCATCGCCAGCAGCATGGTGAGGCTGCCTGGCAACAGGTGAACAGGTGTGTGTACAGTCAGGTGTGTGTGTGCATACAGGTGTGCGTACAGGTTTGTTTAGAGGTATATGTACAGGTGTGCGTAGGGTGTTTTATAGGAGTATGTACAGGTGTGTGTACAGACAGCTGTGTGTACAGGTGTGAGTACAAACAGGTGTGTTTTCAAGTGTGTGTGTAAAATGTATGTACAGGCGTATGTGTAAACATGTGTATGTAGAGGTGTGTGTAAACATGTGTGTGTACAGGTATGCGTAAATGTGTGTGTACAGGTTTGTTTACAGGTGTGGGTACAGACAGGTGTGTGTTCAAGTGTGTGTACAGACAGGTGTGTGTAAAAGTGTGTGTACAGGTGTGTGCGCAGGTGTGTGTACAGACAGGTGTATTTATAGATGTGTGTGTATGTACAGGTGTGAGTACAGACAGGTATGTGTGTGTACAGGATTGTTTACAGGTGTGTGCACAGGTATGTGTACCTGTCTGATACGAGGTCAGCTCCTTCCCGCTCAGGATGTTCTTGATGTTGCTAACGGCGATGTCAGCGTGCAGCATGGCATTGTACGCTGTCTTCGGCTCTTTGATGTCGGTGCAGTCGCCCACAGCGAAGACGTTGGAGAAGCCTTCAACCTGCAGGTGAGGGTTCACCTTCAGAGCCCCGCCCTCCACCAGGGAGCCGGCTGACACACACACACACACACACACACACACACACACACACACACACACACACACACACCTGTCTGCTGCAGCACCATGGCACCTTGCCTGATAGCCAGCCAGCCAAAAACATTACTAAA